GATGGGCAAGGGTGGAAGTCCTTGGGGCTAGAAGTCTGAGAGCTGATAGGAAGGGTAGAGTGGATGGCTGAGGGCTTGGGACTATCAGTATTAGATCTCTGAGGGTCCCATGGGGTTGAAGGACATAGCTTCTTAATGTTCCATATTGCTATTGGGTTTATTGTAGCCCTCATAAGATTGAGAGTATAAGGCTCCAAGAGGGAACTTTTGATAAGGAGCTTGGAAGAAAGACTGGCAGGGCTTAAACATGTAAAATCTAAAGATGGAAATAAATGTACCTTAAACTTTGGCAGTGTAAAATGGTCCAGATTAGGAGAAGGGTTAAGTGGCAAAGTACTACAGTTTAACAAATAGATATACATGTACAAACAAGTTGTTCTGCTAGTTTAAATGAAAGCGCATTTATTTCACTTGCAAATAGAAGTTAACTGGTTATAGCAGTAAATGGTGATTGTTTCACATACACACAAAGCATTTTTGCAAGGTAATATTTTCAAATGGACAAATTTCATGTCAGTGCTAAAAGGTCCTTAGAATGCACTAAAAGGTGTTTGGTGAAAAATACTGTTTTAGACATTAATTTGGGAAACAGAATTGGTTAAAATGTTTTATGACTAAAAGATAAAAACTATTTATATAAAATGTTTCTTTCGTGCACAGGGTAAGGCCCTTAGAGTCTTTTCAAAAATTACATTTTTGCAGTAATGACCTTTCAGCACTGAGCCAACAATTTGCAACTAGCAGTTCTGTGATAATTTTAAGTGAACGACTTTTTTCCAATGCTCTGGCAATGTGGATGTACAACTTGGAAAATACAAAATGCACGTAGAATTGTGTCCCGGGAAAAACTTATAAAGACGAACAAAGAAATTGACTGGAGCAGGTTGAACCTGCAACCTCTGGAACATCGTACCAGTGAGCTACCAACTGAGCTATCCAGCCCTATGTCGGTGGTTCTTCCCATTTGTCAATATCTCTGTTCGGGGAGGCAAACTTGTTAAAAGTGAGGTTCAGAACAGCCACTGGGTTGAATGAACAGTGCTGGTATTTTTGCTGCCTGAATGGGAACACCATTCAATTTTTAAAAGCATGCAACAGTTACAAGCTTTTAGTCCTCAAAAGAAGAAGTATCAAAGTGTCTAGAGTCTTTCCAAATGGAAATTATTTGCAAATTTTGAAGAACGCCCTGTACATGTATAGCATCTTGAGAACTTAAATGTAAACATGAATGTTTTTTAAATGTGCATTAATATGAGTCTATGCATTACGATGAAAAGAAACAAATTAAAGGTGAACAATAGTCTGTCTTCAAAAGCAAACTGACCAATTGTCTATTCAATTTACAGAGTACCTCTTCAGTCATGAATAATTTGGATGCAAGTACAGTACATGGTCACTATACTGAACAATTCGGTATACGGGACACGCCTCTTGGCTTCCAAATTTTCTGCGCACTTTTACTGAACATCACAAATTTGCTTTAAATTAAAGACAAAAATTGAGAACTGGTAACAGTGACTCAAAAGTTAAGATGTCGATAAACTCCGACATTGGAACGGCCATGTTATGGGCCCACAGCAAAACAAGCAGCTGCACAAGAGAATCTGTTTTACACAAACAAGAACACCCACGTATGTTTGTGTAACTGACATTTCAACATAGGATCAGCACCCTCTTTTTTTCTGTAAATAGCGCCCTCTTTTGCCAGGCCTTTCCCCCCCTTTTTAAAATGGAAATCGGAACATTTTGATTTTTAGGCCAATGAAAATGCGACGATTGGAGCAGTACCAGTGAAATTGCAATAGTTGGGGAGGTATGCTACACCCAGCCCTGTTCATTATAGCAGCATTGTACTGTATACCAATATGCACTACTCAAAAAACTTGAAAGGATCAGACGTTTATCTTTGAAAATTTCAGGCAGGTGTGTAGCTCACTGACTTTACTTTTTGTTCACTGAAGCTTATTTCATGCTTGGTTGAGCACCATAGAATGTGAGACAATGCAATTGGTTAGTCCTGTTTCAGAGCCCAATTAGCTGGAAGGGTAAAAAACCATTGGGCAATGTATATTGCTAAGGTATTGCACAACTTCAAAATGGCCACCTTTCATTCTCTTTGAATTAAGGATGGGATAACTCTGAGGCAAGGTGATGAGAGACTGGGCGGGTCTTAGAGAGTTGGGGGGGTACAATGCCATGATTGAGACTCAGTGGCCAGTACAACCCCATTGCGGTAAAATGATGTACATGTATGCGTCTCACTTTAGGACTTTTTTAGAAAAAGTCACTGAAATATTGGCCCTCTTACCATTTTATGTTTAGGTTTAGGAAAAGTGTGAGGCTTTTTTTTTTTAATTTTCTGTCAACCACAAATTTTGATTTTGTATCAATCATCATTTTTACAGATACTTATAAAAAATGTGTGATTTGGGAGAAGATTTGCAAACAGAAACACGTCGGACATTGCATTATTTTACTGAATCAAAGGGTCTCAACAGTTACATGTAATTTGTTCATACTGAGATACATACATCTTCAACATGCTTCATTTCTGTGATTCAGAATCACAAATAGCGCCCTCACATTACCACAATATCATTCTAACTCATAAATAGCGCCCTCACATTACTACCACAATATCATTCTAACTCATAAACAGCGCCCTCACATTACTGCCACATCATTCTAACTCATAAACAGCGCCCTCACGCTACTTGGTTGAAACTCACTTTTTTACATCATTTTCAGGGCTGTAAAGGACCTGCACAAGGTGATGATCAAAGGTTTTCTTTCAGTGTCGATTGTGAGACTTCAGTACTCTGTAACAGTAGTTTCTTGTTTTGATGCCAGAAATTAGCCAAATTAAATGACGCTCATTTTTTGCAATGTGAATACCATTTGTTTAAATTATTAATCACTACGTTTGATCCTTTGAGTAGTGTACAAATGCAGATAGACTTGCTCCATCACTAAGGTGGAAGCAAGGAACAGCATCTCTGACAAGACTGAGTCCTTTCCTTGCCTTTTTGTGAATCAGNCATTGACATGACATCATTCTAACTCATGAACAGCGCCCTCACATTACTGCCACATCATTCCAACTCATAAACAGCGCCCTCACATTACCACAATATCATTCTAACTCATAAACAGTGCCCTCACATTGACATGACATCATTCTAACTCATGAACAGCGCCCTCACATTACTGCCACATCATTCCAACTCATAAACAGCGCCCTCACATTACCACAATATCATTCTAACTCATAAACAGTGCCCTCACATTACAGCCACATCATTCTAACTCATAAGCAGCGCCCTCACACTACTTGGTTAAAACTCAATTTTCTATACATCATTTTCAGGGCCATAAAGGACCTGGGCAAGGTGCTGACCAATTTTTTTTCACTTTTGTGAGGCTTCAGTACTCTGTATCGGAAGTTTCTTGTTTTGATGCCAGGAATTAGCCAAATTAAATGACGCTCATTTTTTGCAATGTGAATACCATTTGTTTAAATTATTAATCACTATGTATGATCCTTTGAGTAGTGTACAAATGCAGATAGACTTGCTCCATCACTAAGGTGGAAGCAAGGAACAGCATCTCTGACAAGACTGAGTCCTTTCCTTGCCTTTTTGTGAATCTGAGTGCCTAAGATTCCGATGAGGATCCCTCATGCAATCTTGGAAACTGTTCCTCCTCAGTGATGGAGGCGAGGACTGGCATCTATCTGAGTTACTTCCTTTCCTTGGCATCCTCATGAATCATCTCTGTGAAGTCCCACAGGAAGGAAAAGGAAGTTTAGGTCAGGAAAATGTGAACAATTCCAGTAGAGTGGGTGCATTAAACTAGCTTGCCCTGGTGACAACGGTTTAACCTCATCCCTATCGTCTTGCTGGGGTTGACACAATGCACACAACCATCCCTAGGTCAGGGTTGCCCTAAAAGCTAGCCACAAACACCCAAGTGTGGGTCCAGGACTCAATATTTTCCAGGACGGGGGACAAAGTTGATTCTGGGGGCCAATTTTTTTTTAAAATTTTTAAAGTTGTTTAAGGGGTTAGGCTACATTTCCACTTTTCAAAACTGAGAAGGGAAATTAAAAAGATCCTTTCATATTTTCAAATGAAAACAATTTTGGCTCCTTCTTTGGTCATAACTCCAATTGGCCCCTCCCCCTTTCCCAGATTCATCCTTGCAGAAAGCCAGCAATGATGTGAAACACAGGACTCTTACCTGTGCTCTTTATGACGTAACCTGCCTCTTCACTTTGGAGATTTCATCGCTCAGTCCACTCGCACCATGACGCTAGCCAGCCTAAATGTTCATGTAGGCGGCCATGGCAGCAGATTCACCTGGCAATGAGGCCTTCCCAAATCTAAACACGGGGGAAAATGACAAAAAACATCAAGAAAAGGTCACCTAAGGTTTTTCAGTCACACTGTATTAATAACATTTTCCTCAAATGAGCAAAACATCCACATTTCAACCCATCACTACAAAGACTCTTCTTGTGGGTTGCTGTTACATCCATAAAATCATACAGTACTGGGGAGCGCAGGGGGTAACAGGCCGGGTGGGGTCAGGGCCCAATTTCATGGGGCTTCTGAACACAGTCAGAGGAAAAACTGTGCTACTTCAGCTGAAAATATGCAAAACCTTGAGCACTATTTCATGGCACTGCTCGGGGTGGTTGTGCTAATGGTTGCGTGCGGATAGAAATTTCTGTTGTTACATCACTAAGTTTAAGCAAATCTTTCCACCAAGGTTAGGATGCATTACTGTTTACTTACTGT